AGAGAGAGAGAAAGAGAAATGGATGCTTGGTATCATCATCCGCCGCCGCCGCCGCCGCCTCCGTTCCCAGCCTGGGGCACCTCCGGGCACTGGCCGCCGGGGCCCCCCGGGCCCCCCGGGCCCTGGCACTGGGCCTCGCCCCAGGCTCCACCGCCACACTCAGGTCGGTTTCAAACCCGGGCTAGAAGACGTTTCTCATTACCCCCTCCCCCTTGAGTGGTCTACCTCACAGGGTTGTTGTTGCTGCTAGGGGGAAGCCGGTCTGAGGACGGGCAAGGGGAGCTGGGTGTGCATCATCATTAATCGCCATCTTTTAACGACCCATAGTCATTAACTGGTTGGAGCTGAGTGTTTTACTGGCCGGATGCCCTTCCTGTCACCAGTGCGGAGTTCTATTCAGCAGTTATATTTGTCTGTCCATCTCTATCTCTTTCTTTCTCTCTGTTTTTACCAATTTTATTGATTACAATATTTAAAAACATTGAACTGATGGACTTCACTGACGTACATTTTTGTCCTTATCCTTCATATAAGATCTTATATATACATTTATATACAATAGGTCTTTTTATATTTTAAACCGTTTCAGTTACATATCAGTTCAATCATTCATTTTGCCAACTCCCTTTCTTCTCCCCCCAATAATAGAATTGATTCCATATCATATAGTAATCAAGATTCGTCTTTATCTTTCATTTCCAAGGTTAATCTATCCATTTCAGCGCAGATCAAAATCTTATCTATCGCCTCGTCTTTGCTAGGTATTTCTCTAGCCTTCCATTTCTGGGCAAACACCATTCTTGCTGCTGTAATAACATGGATTATTAAATATATATCATCTTTACTATACTGTGCTGACATGATTCCCAATAAAAAGGTCTCTGGTTTATAGTTTATTTTTGTCCCCATCATTTCCTCTAACCATTTCCAAATCTTAACCCAAAACTCCTGGGCTTTTTTGCAAGATCGCTTATCTATTTCTTTTAATGTCCCATAATCCCTTGCAGGGTGGAGTCTGGGCAACTGAATGGAGCTGAGAGTTTACTGGCCGGATGCCCTTCCTGTCGCCAGTGCGGAGTCTTGTTCAGCAGATATATTCTCATTGTGCCCAGAGAGAGAAATATCTGTCTTTACCAAGGATCAAACTCATAGCCTCCTGATGGTGAGACGAGAGCTCCGCCTTTAGGCCACCCCACTACTCACGCAGACTCTATTATTAATACTGTAATAATAGTTACAATAGTTCTTGATGGGCTGATCTCTACCTTCTGTTCCTTCCCTCCTCATCTTTTAATTGAATCCTGTATTTTTATTGGGATTATACTGTGGTTTGTGTGTGTATGGGTTATGCTATTGGTGTGTGTATATGTATATGTATGTAAAGCACCAATATATATATCTACATACACACTATATATATATATATACACACACATGCTATATATATACACACACATATACATACACTATATCTATCTCTATCTCTGTAACACACCAATATATATACACTATATAATATCTAACACCAATATTTCTATGTACATTATATAATATCTAACACCAATCATATCTATAAACACTATATAATATAAAATACCTATACATCTATATACACTATATAGTATAACATATCTATATACACTATATATACACACATATAACCAATACATACATACAACCAATAGCATTGCAAATCACGGAAAAATCCCCTCCAAAATATGGGATTTAAGTTAAAGATGGGGAAGGAAGGAAGGAAGGAGCAGAATGTAGAGAGGGGAGGTGGAATCAGCCCATCAAGAACTATTATAATTATTGTTACACTATTAATAATAGAGTCTGTGTATGGATTCTGGCTTCTCTTAGAATATGTATGTATGTACCATATGTATGTATAACACACATGCATACGTTTGCACCCCACACACACATACAATTACAGTAAAAATACAGGCTATAACTAAAAGACAGGGAGCAGAATGTATAGGGCAGATGGGAATCTGCTGTTGGTCTCGTGTGTATCTATCTATCTATCTATCTATCTATCTATCTATCTATCTATCTATCTATCTATCTAGTTTTTATTACTTTCAATATTGTAAGCTCCTCAGATTTGCCTAGCAGCCAGATGAGCAGCAAACAAATTTTAATACATCCTTTAGGGAAAAAAAAAATGAGTTTATGTTCAGAGTTTACGGTGCTTTCCTTCCCTGAATAGAATTGCATTTTTATATTTCTGTTTTATTTCCTATTTATTTATTTCGTAACGCTTAATTCTGATTGAAGGCAGGCATCCTCATTTTGGTGAAGACTGGCAGGTGAAACAAACTGGACTGCCACAAGCTGGAGCCTGTCAAGGCAGGAAGCACAAACAGAAGGTATTTGATTGCAAGTTGAGAGCAAATTGTATGGAGCCACTTTTGTTTGCATTTCTGATTTCAACGAAAGGAACACAAAGACGTTTTCATAAGCATGCTGTAGACAGAAAGAGCCCTGTGGGTGCCGTGGTTAGAGATTGGATCCTGACTGGCTCCAGGTTGACTCAGCCTTCCATCCTTCTGAGGTCGATTAAATGAGGACCCAGATTGTTGGGGGGCAAGAGGCTGACTCTGTAAACCACTTAGAGAGGGCTATAAAGCACTGGGAAGCGGTATTTAAGTCTCTTAAGTGCTATTTCTATTAAACTGTTTGGTACTATTGCTACCCTTACGTATTCATCCCAGTTTTGTAGTTCTTAGCATTGTGGACACAGGAACAATACTGTATGTGGTAAATGCTATTTGGTTATGAAAAAGAGAACTTAAATTTGCTGGTTCATCTAGGATGAACCTTTGTAACTGTTGGGTTCCTTTCCTTGTTACTGGGGAAGAATAAAAAAAATGCAATAGTAATGATCACTCAGTAGCCGCCCATGATGTCCTGCTAAGCTATCCTTTAATTCCAATGGCACAGAAAGTACAGAGCCTGGGTGAAATTGTTTTCTCTGCCAAGAGGAAATCAACCAGAACGTAGGGATTCACTGGAGTTGGCATTTCTTTATGTACTAGCTCCATTACCCGTGCTTCGCTACAAAACTATGTGATTGGGCTTAGTTTTGGGGGAGGAAAATAAGGGAGAAAAAAAATCTGCTTCTGCCTCCCAGCATCCATCAGTATTCATCTGGCTAGGGTCCTGTCAGTGTGTGAGAGAGTTGAGGGCTGTTTGGAAACTGAAACATGGAAACTGAAACAGTATTTGCTGGGTGAGCAAGAAGGAGACAGCAAGGAGCCTGGGCTTAGCTCAGCTGTTCTGTACTAAAGCTGCTTGTTAAACTGAAACTCGGCTCCTCCACTTGTGTTTTGCCTTTGGAAGAGATTTCTTTCCAGGTGGGGAGGGGGAGTAGAACTCCTTAGCATCATAATAATAATATAGGAAATCCTAATGCTCTGATGGTCAAAAAAAATCCTTTCTTAGTGAGCACCTAGAAGCCAAGAGGAACATACATACGTGCCAAATTTCAAGTTTGTAGGCTTTACGGTTCTGGAGATTTCGTGATGCATGAGTGGTATTTTGTTTTTATATATATAATTTTACCGAATTTATCTGCCCACTATCTAATTTCAAATAACTCTGGGCAGCTTCCAGCTTATTTGGCTTATAATTGATATAAAGCAGGATTTAATTCATCAGTTAATTAGATTACTTGATTTATATACCGCCAATGCAATGGGCAAGATAGCTTGCAATTTTAAACCACAAACGTTAGCAGAGAAGTACAAAGTATTACATCTCACAGAGAAAGACCACTTGACTCCTGTGAACAACCCAGCAGCAAATTCCTTTCCAGTTTCGATTCTTGGTTCGCATGTAGCACCAAAAGTTTGTTTAAATGAAACCAGCCCCTGCTTTATTTCTCCTCCTGGCTACCGAGATGGGCGTGAATAATCCTAGAAGTATAAATGAACCTCATTCTGTTTATACATCTAGGATTAAACTATTTGTTCTTGCGTTTGGTTGTTTTGATAAAGTCGCCTATTCGTCACAGAAGGAGCACATTGCACTCGGCACACACCCTTTCCTTCAAGGATGGCTGCAATAAGATTGAAACTTTTCCTTTATGCTTTGATGAACTGTAGATTAGGACTTTGTCCAAATGCTAAACAACCGTACTTAATTTTAACAATGGATTCTTTAAAACAAACTAGTTTCGCGGGTCGTAATTGGAAGTTGTTTTCTTTTGCTAAAACGGTTCAGATCAGGGGCACTTTTATTATAGTAGTGAGCAACGCAAAAAAAAACAACAGAAGCAAAGACGAGAAGCCAGTGGTTATGGTGCCAGACTAGAAAATGGGAGACTGAGAATTCTAGTTGCGAAAGCCAACCGGGTGACTTTGGGCCAGTTTGTCTCTCAGCCCAGTCCACCTCACAGGGTGATAGTTGTGGGGGGAAACAGGAAAGAACAACGTGTGCGTTGGACATATTCGCTGTCCTGAGTTATTTGTAAAAATAGTAAAAGTAGATACAAATGAGTAAGTAAAAAATAAAAGATTCTAGACTCTTATCAGAATGGACTGGAGTGGAATGGAATAACTTTATTGTCACTTTGAATGTAAGTGTAACATTCAAAGCGACAATAAGGTTATTCTATTCTATACAATAAAGTTATTCTATTCTATAATTGGCATGCATTAAAAATGAAATTTTGTTGCATACAAGGCTTAAGGGTCACCACCTCCAATTTTACACTACGTAAAAATGACATAAAATAAAAATACAATAAATACAAATACTGCATAAAAATAAATACAAAATTGTGTGTCTATACGATACTATACTAATATTATATTAGACACAGAAACAACAGTCTAGTTTGGATGTATACATGTTTATGGCGAGAAAAACAAATCTTGTGAGTTTACCAGACAGGTGGCCTAGGGAACAAAGCTCTTCCAGAATCTGCAAAAGTCCTGCTAGAAATACTTCGAAACCTCCTCCCACAGGAGAGCAACAGAAGCAGACGATGAAGTGGGTGTGTGGGGTCTCTAACAATGCTTGGTGCTCTAAGCACATTGCGCTTATAAGCAGCTTCCTGTAATCTTCTCACTACTGTCCTCACCACTCTCTGTAGGGACTTTCTCTTTGCTGTTGGCAAAGGGGTCCTAGGCTCATTTTGTCCAACCATTCTTGCAAAGGTTTGGTCTGGTTACTTTCAAAGGGCTCATTCTGGGAATGAATCATGGTTGGTCATGATTCCTGAATGGCACTTTCATAAATTACATTGAATGGCTGGTAACATTTATTCAGTGCCAGTAGAAGCCATCCTTTGGGCAGGTCTGTGGCGCCAGTGATGGCATGTAATTTTTTTTAAAAAAAATCCATTGTAAGGGCCCCTAAGTAGTGCCAGTCCAACAATTCATCATTAACGCCTCTTTTCTTTTTTTGATAGAACAAGAAGAGAAAGGAACCTGTTTTTACCCACTATTGTGATACATGCGACCGTGGCTTTAAAAACAAGGAGAAATATGAGGAACATATCGCTCAGCACAAGCAGGTGTGTGTGTGATTATAGCTGCAGGCAGCATTAGTTGCATAAATTATTGAATAACCGTGGAGTCTAACCTTTCAAAGCTGGCATGGAAGCTTGAAACACAAGCCTGTTTCACACATAAGCACCGCAAGCCAGGAATTTTAACTGTGGTTCGCCCCACCTTGGGCGATAATTTTCCACCCAGCCAGAAGAGAAGCCCCTGTTCCAGAAATGACATTTGTTAGTTCTGATTTCTGTAGAATTGCAGCTACATTATGAGAGAGATTACTGAAGTGAGCCCCCACCTATGTAGTTTTACATTTTAATATTTATTGCTGTCTTCGATGTCAAGATTTTAAAATAAGGATTGTTACAGATTGTTCCATTAAGCTGGGACTAAGCAGCAAACTTCCCGGGAATTAGAGAATAAATCCATTTTGAAAAAAAGAGGAAAACGAGGAGCGGTGAGAATGCAGAAGAAATGAAGGGGAGAGAAAGAAGAATCAAAGTGTAATTTCAACGGGCGGTACTGCCATTTTTTTAGTTTGCTAAAATGATTTGAATATCTCTCCTTTCAGTGTACTGAAGATGGCTGTAACTTTAGAGCACATGAGAAGCTGGTTCAGATTCATTGGAGAAATGTAGGTATTTGCCTGGTTCAGATCGGTAACTCTTTTCTAAGAATTTTCTTCTCGGTTTTTCTCTATTTTATACATCTTGTTTTTTTTGGAATTTGACATATCTGCAAATGTTTGTTAAACAGTTACAGTGAATAAACCGCAGAACACTTTTATGGAGCTGTTTTGAAGGCTGTGGAATGAGCTTGAGATATTGCAAAATGTTTGGTCAAGACTTGAGGCTGATTGCATGCAGGAAGTCCTCAACTTAAGACCACAATTGAGCCCAACATTTCTGTTTGCTAAGGGAGAAATTTGTTAAGTGAGTTTTGCCCCATTTTATGACCTTTCTTGCCACTGTTGTTAAGTGAATTACTGCAGTCATTAAATTAGCCACATAGTTGTTAAGTGAATCTGGCCTGCCTATTGTCTTTGCTTGTCGGAAGGTCGAAAAAGGGAAATCACTCTGCAACCGTCATAAATCAGAATCTGTTGACAATCCCAGCTTTTGATTTTTTTTTTTTCAGTTTTAAATACATCAGTTGTCAGAGTTCCGACGCATGCTCTAATTCAGGGGGTCGCCAAACTTTTGGACCTTAGGGACCACCAAACTCATTATTTTAAATCCCGCGGACCAGAGACCCTGGGAAAATCCCCCCAAAAATCTGCAGGAAAATTCCCCACCCCGTTTTCCTACCAATCGATCCTTCTTTATTCAGGATCGCAGGATACCGTCTCCAGCTCCATTCTCAGGGAGAGACTTTTGGCTTTATGCAAGGAAAGCAGCAGAAGCAGCAGAAGTCTTTCTTTCTCTCCCCCAAACTCTGCCAGAAATGAGTCTTTTGCCGGCGCAGCCTCTTGGAGCAGGAGGCCTTGCAGGGTCCCAAAGACTCATTTCTGGCGGAGTTTGGGGGAGAGAAAGAAAGACTTTTGCTGCTTTCCTTGTGTGCAGTCAAAAGCAGAAGGAGAAAGAAGTGGAAAGAAGCAGCCCGGTGGCCAGGCCAGGCGTGTGGGGCGAATGGGGCAAGTTCCCCCCTCCGCCCTTTCCCCCTTCCCCTCACTACCTCGTGTTGTTCACAGTGCAAGCGACACAAGCCTTGTGTTCCCGCGGGCCATGTGGGCGGCGCAGCCTTGTGTTCCCACGCAGCCTGGATTAATTGCTTTGGGAGGGACATTTCTCTGCGGACCACAAAATTTTCTCATGGGCCACCAGTGGGCCGTGGCCCACCTGTTGGCAACCCCTGCTCTAATTAATTTATGAGCCTTGAGCCAAGTTTCAAAAGAAATTCATTGATGTATTAGGAACAACATGTCGACACTCTTCTCTCCAAAGAATTTTTACCTATTTAGCTTCAGCCAGGCTTCCTAAGGGATTAAAGTGCCTTCTATCACTGGGACGAGAGAAACACAGTAGTAATGGGAGCTTATTGGGGTTATGTTCTCCGATCTGATTTCAACCCAGTATTTTATTTTTATTTTATTTTTATTTTTTGCAAATAATTTTAAAAGAGGTGCATGTTTCCAAATGCTTTGAGGTATCTTTGTCTGTGTCTCCCTCCTCAGATGCATTCTCCTGGTATCAAGCGGATCAAATTAGATACCCCAGATGAAATTGCAAGATGGAGAGAAGAGAGGAAAAAGTGAGTAGTTCATTGTCGGAAACGATACAAATGTTAAGTTTATTAATGGCAGCAAAGGAGAGCGGATGGGTGGTTGTTGTTTATTTGCCCAAACTTCTCTTGGTTCCATCTCTCTGCCTTGCAGGATTTGCAGGATGTAAAATTTTAATTTGCAGGATTTATTTATCCCCCCCCCCCCAAGCAATCGCAGATAGACCTCAACTTACGACCATAACTGAGTTCAAAATTCCTGTGATGACTCAAAGGGTTGTGGCACAAAGGCAACACAGTCAGATAAACAATGAGTCCCTTTATTATCTCCAACTTTGCCCCCAATGTCCAGGTTATTCTTCTGGCTGGAGAAAAACTCTCCCAGGAACAGCCTTTGGCTGCAGAAAAATTCAGTCCAAAACAGGGTCAACACAAACTGTAACTTAAAGTCCAAACAAGCCAAACTGAACTAATTAGTTTGGCAGGTCAGGAGCAAGAATTTCAGACTGGAAGGCACGGAAAAACTCACAGTTGGGAAGATGCCAGGAAGACAGATAAGCCACGACAACACAGGATAAAGTCACGTTTGCTCCCAGCGGCCTGCCGCACACAGCCTGCCTTTCTTATCAATTGTCTTCCCAGCTGCGGCTAATGAAGGAAATCAGGGCCCTTTCCTCCCCCCATAAGCCAAGAAACCCACGTTGCTCCCTTCTTCGTTCCTCCCTGCATGCCCTAGGATGAAGAAGGGGTGGGCCTGGGTCTTTCTCTGAACAGTTCTACCTCTCTCCTGGTCTGCCCAGCCTGACTTTGCCCTTCCCCAGTTTCCTCCACAACCAATAGAGCCACACTCCCACTCCCTGTCAGCTGTTCGTCTTCCTCCTCGGATTCAGATTCTGATGGATACTTTCCCTTAATAATCCCCAGAAGAAACAGTTCAGGCTTCAATTCTATTTGGTAGTGTGTAATTTCATTTAACCATTTTTGTATTTTGATCCAGTATTTTTTAATTTCCGGGCAAAGAGGAGAGCCATTTCAATTAGGGTTGTGATGAATGAATGAATGAATGAATGAATGAAGGTAGCCATTTAATCGATGCTCAAACTTACTGACCGCTTCGTTGTCCTAAATGGCTTGCTAATTCAGCCTCTTCTTGCGTCTTGCTGTAGAAATTTCCCGACTTTGGCAAATATCGAAAAGAAGAAAGCATTAAAGGTGGAAAAAGAGAGTCGAGGAGAAGTGCTGACCACTTTACAATTTGGGTAAGACGTAACCTCTTGGCTCTTCTTAGTAAACCCGAATCGTAATCAGCTTGTCATCTTTTTGAGTTTTGGAGGCCTCTTTTTCAACTCCGGGGTAACGTAGGAAGCATCATTTTAAAATGGCTGCTCCTTGGGGGGTATAGTTGTTCTCCAGATGGGTGCAGGTAGATCCCTTTAAACCCCACTCCAGAATCACTGCTTCCACTTTTTAAAGATTCGTGGGCATTGCTCTCCTGCCAGAAATTGGCTAAAGGAGAATAGAGCCTCACTCTTCATTCTGGGACAGAAAAGTCTGTCGTTCTCCTAGACTGAGCATTTCTTGAATTCTTTGATTCTTGGTTAGAACAGTGAACGTTTCAAAACGTCTTGTAAAAAACACCCCAGGGATCTGGATGTTTGTGAAGGATGGTATTTGCACATCTCACAATTAATCCAAGAAGTGGCCTGGAACAAACTGTCAGCGTTCTGTCAGCGTTCCTGTGATGACCCAAAGGGGCGTAGCACAAACACAACCCAGCCAGATAATAAGTAGGGGTCCCTTTATTAGCTCCAACTTTGTCCCCAATGTCCTGGTTACCTTCCCATCTGGAGAAAAACTCTCCCTGGAATCTGCAACAGCCTTTGGCTACAGATATTCCAATCCAAAATGGTGTAAACAGAAAACTTTAAACTATAAATCCAACAAAGCAAGATAAGGCAAGATAAGGAGTTCCAGAAGTGAAGTAACACGGCAGTAACTCAAACCAGTTGGGAGGATGCCAGGAACTAAGATAACAGCAGCCAACATGAGATAAACTCAAGGTTTGTTCCTAACAAACACCCTTCCAAACTGCCTCTCCTTAAACTCTCTTCCCAGCTGTGGCTGATGAAGGGAATCAGGGCCCTTTCCTCCCCCATAAGCCATGCAACTCATGTTGCTCTCTTCTCTGTTCTTTACTGCGTGCCCTAGGATGAGGAGGGGGGTGGGATTGGGTCTTCCTCTGAACTCCCTCTCCCTTGTTCTACCTCTCTCCTGCTCTGCCCAGCTTGACTTTGCTCTTCCAACCAGTGGAGTTCCTTCCACAACCAATGGAGCCACACTCCCCCTCCCTGTCAGCTGTCCGTCTTCCTCCTTGGATTCAGACTCTGACGAGGGCATGACAGTTCCAAGTAACAAACTCCAACCCAATAAACTGAGACAAGCATTTCCTCAAAGTTCCCTTTTATTAGAGTTGTCATGTTGGCACATCTGGGAAAACCTGAATCTGAGAGTTCCAGGTTTCCCCCTCATAATTGAAAAGCAACAATCCCTCCCCTGCACCCATCAGTCCATCCCATGGCCCAACCAAATCTTCGTCCCCACCCTCCAGGTGCAGGGCAGCATGTCCTTGACTCTCTGAGAAAGGAATGTTGTTGAGTCTAATCTTTTACCTCACTATGAAATTCCCCCTTCCAAATTTTTGACTCTTGACGAATGTCTCTCTTCTTTTATGGACACTGAGAGCATTTGCACCAAGACAAGTTCCTTGTGTGTCCAACCACACTTGGACAATAAAAAGGATTCTATTCCCAGGCACTAAAATGTGGCAGCGTGGAAGCGTCGTAAGTAAAATATGGCTTTTTCCCCCCATCTCTTTCAGCAAGATGAAGGGAATGTGGAAACCTCCGAACGAAGGTTCTAGGCAGCAGGGAAATGCACAGCGGAGAACAAATCGGCGCTGGAATAAATCTAGGAATGTTGCTAATAAGAAAGGTGCCCCACTCAGCCCTTCGACTGGGACCAGTTCCGACAACCATGAAGCTGAGGAGAAGGTCAGCAGAGAACCTTGCGTAGCTGCAGAAGGCTCCATGACTGATAAAGATCCCCTGAGCATTCTGGCCAGCAGTGATCCTGGTAAGATATGTCCTTGGGTTAATTGGGTTAATTTAAGCAATGACAGGAGAAATCGTGTTTTCTTTCACTCTTAAAATAAACCCCCGTGCCCTTATGGTTGAGTTGTTGTTGTTTTTAACGATGTACGTTGTCGATTTATGCAATCGACTGGAGAGAAGCTTCCATTAGAACAGGGGTCTCCAACCTGGGCCACTTGAAGACTTGTGGAACTTCAACTCCCAGAATCCCTCAGCCAGCAGACCAGAGCTCTCCAAACTTGGCAACTTTAAGACTCCCAGAATTCCTCAGCCAGCTATTCTGGGAGTTGAAGTCCACAAGTCTTAAAGCTGCCAAGTTTGGAGACCCCTGCTTTAGAAGGCCGGGCTCCGAATTTAAGAGAAATTCGGTGGAAGGAAGGGTAGCAGGAGAGATTGGGGACTTGAGGTAGCCGTGTGAATTTGGCCGCGTTTGTAATCGCACGAGGAAAACAAGTAATCCGTCTCGAAAGAAGTCTTCAGCATTTAAGAGAGATTGAAATGGCTCAGGGTGTTGGGTGTCTGGTTTAGAGGGAGAGCCATGTGAATAAACTGACCCATCGGTGTAACAAAGCTTGTTTGGGTTAAGAGAAGAATAATTGGTTGGATAGTCCCAGTGGTGCTTTTTTCAAGAGGCAACGGGACTTTCTGTTCTTACTTTGAAGACGTTTCACTTCTCATCCAAGAAGCTTCTTCAGCTCTGACTGGATGGTGGGGGGGGAATGGAAGGATTGATATTCCTTGCAGTCATCTGGTCATTTGCATCCTTTTAAGAGAGCCTTGGAGGCCACCTGGAGGTTTGTCTGGGTCCTCAAGGCCACCTGAGTGGTGCAAATATCTACGGAGCCTTTTTGGAACTGCTGAAACGACTGGAGGTAGATGATGCCGTCTCCCTCCGCCTCTGTTGAAAGAGGGCTGTTCAGTTTTGACAAAGATGGTCTCTTTGACCCCGCTTTCAAACCAGGGTTCCTCTCTGTCCAAATATGACAATTTCTGTCTTCATTTACACCACTCAGGTGACCCTGAGGACACAGATAAACCTCCAAGTGGCCTCAATGACTCTCCAAAAGAATGCAAATGACCAGCATTCACTCTGCTAAACAAATAATTCCCTCAACACTGCCCAACTATTTACAAAGT